CGGCAGGGCCGGCGGCCGGCGCGGCCAATCGGCGCGCGGCGGGGGCGGGGCCCGGCGCGGGGGGCGGGGCCGCCCTCCCCTCGCTCGCATCCTCTCGGCGGGGCGAGCGCGACCATTTTGCGGGGGGGATCGGCGGGAGCGGGACCGGGGCGGACACCGGGACCGCGGGCCGGGAGCGGGGCAGCGACACCGGCACCCGGGAGCGCCGGCAGGGAGCGGCAGCGAGAAGCGGCAGCGGGGGCGGCGGCGGCGCCTGGAGGGGGGAGCAGCAGCGGCGGCGGCAGCGGCGGCTCCGGCAGCGCGGCCTGAGGCGCTGGGCCCAGCGCTCCCGCTCGCTCCGGGCGGCCCCGGCGGCCTCGGCGGCCTCAGCGTCCCCCGTTCCCTCCGCGCCCACCCCCGGGGGCGGCACGAACCCGCCGGGAAGATGTCCCGGCCCGTCAGGTGAGTCGCGGAGCCGCCGCTCCCGCGCCGCTCGCCCCGGCCGCGGCCCCGCGCAGGCCGCGCTTCGGGGAGGGCCGTGCCCATTTTCTCCTCTATTTCCCCTTGTTTCCCCCCCGGTAAGCGCGCGTATTTACCGCAATAAACACGACGTTCCGCACCGTGCGCCTCACGCGGGGCTGGGGGCGGGTGGGGGGGTGTGTGTGGGGGGGTGTTCGGGCCCTGCGTGCGCTTGTCCCACATTTTGTAACGGGGAGGAGGGGGGGGAAGAGGGAATTGTCGCCGTGACCCACTTGGCGCGGGGCGGGCGGCGCTCGCTCGCCATCCGCGGCCGCTGCCCCTGCCCCGCCGCCCGGGGAGGGGGCGCGGGGCCACCCCGAGGGGGGTCCGGGCCACGGGGGCTGTGCTGGGGAACCACGCTGAGGGGAGGAGCCGCCGGGAGGAGGAGGAAGAGGAGGAGGAGGAGGAGGACACACGCCCTGCTCCTCCCGCCCGCCCGCCAGCAGCGCTCCAGGGTCGTTTTCCTGCTGGTGTTTCCCCCCCGCCCGCCCAGCACCTATCCCAGGGAGGGGTTGGGTCGTGGAGGAGAGAAAAAGCTTTTTTAGCGGTGCTGTTGGCGAGCTGTGTGTTCGCAGAGGTAGGTGTGGTGGTTGTGTCTGTAGTTGAGCGGTGCTGGGCCTCGAGGGGCTGCTGGGGGGGGGCTGAGCTGGGGGTGCGGCGTGGGGGGTTTGAGGATCTGCAGCGCGGGGGAATTGGTGCCCGTGGAACGGCTGGAGCTGTGTCCGGGAGGGTTTAAGTGGATCTCAGGGAAAGGTTCTTCCCCCAGGGGGTGGTTGGGCACTGCCCAGGCTCCCCAGGGCAGTGGGCACGGCCCCAAGGCTGCCAGAGCTCCAGGAGGGTTTGGACAACGCTCTCAGGGACAGGGTGGGATTTTGGGGTGTCTGTGCAGGGTCAGGGGTTGGACTGGATGATCCTTGTGGGTCTCTTCCAGCTCGGGACATTCTGTATGAATTCTGTGATTCTGGGAACTTGCCTTGTAGCTGAAAGATTACCAGGGGGAGAGGAGGAGTGTCTTCCTTTTTACTCTTCTCTGCAAAGAGAGTGAACTTGTGCTTTTAGAGGGTGAATTTGCGATTTAAGTTGTTTTTATAGAAGAGGAAAGAGGTTTCTCAAGGTGCTCTCCTGATGCTCTGAAATTTTTTCATTCTCAGGGTGCTTCAGGAACTGGTTGTGTTTTCATTCCCAGTAAACCTGGTCTGGAGTGTGGATGTGTGGATATTTTGGATATTCTAAATAATAATTAATTGTGGCTATGATACATATATACATTTATAGATGATATACTTTATGTTCAAATGACATCTCTTAACACATGGGAGTTTAAAAAATAAATGGAAACCAGGGGTACTTTGCTAAGTAGGGAAGTGATTGGTGGTACAGTTGTTTCATAGCTTGTTTTTTTGACCAACAGTGTCTTCCTGCATGGAGAGGGAAGGGCAGATAAAGCTCCCTTGGGGAGTTGTCTGGGATCCAAAAGGTGCATTAATGGCACTGTGTGTACCCTGCTCTGAAACATCAGGTTTTGGCCTTTTGCAGGGCAGGGTGTTGTGCTGGATGGACCAGTGGTCTGACCCTGAGTGGCAGTGCCCGTGTGCCCAAATCAGTGGTGGTGTCACTCTGCTGCTTGAGGGGGACACTTCAAATGCTGGTGGTTCTCTTGCCAGCACTGGAGTCCTGCTAACAGGTCAGGGAAGGGCTGTGTCTCTAAAAGCAGAGCCTCTGAGCTTGCTGGTGTGAAAATAACTTTGCAACCATTCCTGAAAAATAATTAAAATAAACCTCCCCCATCCAGGCCTGCGGTGTTGTGAAAGGTTTGAGTTGTCTCACTCTCAGCTGACAGGCCCAGGTCTACAGGGAAATAAAGCACCAAAGTCCAGCAGGTTGTTGGGAGCACAAAACCTGTTGGCACGTGTCAGGAGAGATGTGACAGTCCTCTGTCTACCTGTATTTAATTTAACAGCCCTTCCAGGGGGAAAAAGATAAATACACAGGGGCTGCTGCATTATATTTATTGCTCTAGTAAATATTAACTGGAAGAGCTCTGCTAATAGATTTAAATCCATTAATAAATTAATTCTGAAATGGATTTTTTTCTGGCTGTCTCAGCTTGTGGTTGGTGATATGGCAGCCTGGTGAAAGGCTCTTCATCAGAGTGAGATTTAGTGTTGGAAAAGTTTTCCTCTGGTCAGTGTTCTTTGAACTAATTTATGATGTCTGCTGGTTTCTAGTGAATATATGCAACCTAAAACAGTGAAGTTAATAAAATCCACCATATATCCCCAGTTTTTACTGCACTTGTCATGGAATGCTGCCTTAAAACTGAGTCTGGTTGTTGAAGTCAGTTCCTTAAAATTGTTAAGGAGTAGTAATAAAGTGCTGGTATTTACAGGCTTCCTGTGCCAAGTACTTTCTACACAATTAAATTTCACCTGGATGGATAATGATAGTATTTACACTATTGTTATAAAAAGACAAGAAGTAAAAAAGTAAAGGAACCTGAAATTACTGAACCTCTGCATCTTGTGGGTCCCTCACCTGAGAACTGCAAAGAGCAGCTGGGGCTGATGGTGACATTATATCCCATAATATAAAATATTATAGGGATATAATAAATACTTTGAACCACTTTTTTTATATACCTCATCAATCAATTAACGTGTTTTAAGTCAGAATTTTGACTTTTAATGGAGTTTGCTTCTGCTTTTCCTCACTGGTCACTTCCACTTGCTGGTCCTTTCCTGGAGCCATTGCAAACTGAGATGCTGTGGGCAGGTATGGAAATCCCAGGGGTTTTTTGGTGATTCATTTTAAGATTAAAACCAGTTATGGATTGATCTCAGTGCTTCAAGGCTTTACATCCTTAATTTTCCTGGATTTGAATCCCAGTCTCCTGTTGGCACTGCAGTGGAAGGGTGAAATTTTACCAGCAGGAAGAAATATATTTATCTATTAAATATAACTTGTTACCAGTGTTGTACTTGGGGCAATTTAAAGCATAAATATTTTTATTCTGGACAAACTTCCACAGGAAGCAGGAAAGCAACAGTTCCTTGGGGATTGGCAGGGATTGGCATCAACTGTGTGGGGGTCCAGAGATAGGTGTGGACACTTTGCAGAGGAGTGAAAAGCTGACCCTTGCTCTCCCTCAGTCTAAAGAGAAACAGAGGGAAGGTAGAGGCACAAAAAAGATCAAAATCCCAGGGACAGCACAGGTTGCAGAAATGATTTGGGTGGGGGGCATGGGGTGGGGGTTTGGGTTTGGTTCCCCCTCCCCTGCTCTGCACCAGAACACTTCTGTATTAAAATTACTCAGTTATAGTTGGATTCCACTGGAGAACGGGCACAAGGCTGCTTGAACTGTTGCTGCATAAATCATTTAACTGTTTGGTGGAGTTCCAAGTCGTGAGTATCCCTAAAAATTCTGCAGAGTGCCTGGTCTTACACACATGGGGACTTACACCAGCCCCAAACACTGACCTCTGTAACTGGGCACCTCTCTGGGTGAGCCCTGTCTGGGCATGGCTGTGCCCATTTTTACACAGACTGACCCCACAGTGACACCTTTTGGGTCCATCACTGGCACCACGTGCCAACCTCTGTTGGGGATTTAAATCCACGGTCATGGGAGGCCCAAATCCAGCCCTGCTTTGGGCAGCTTTAAAAATGACAACCAGAAGGGTTTCTCGCAGGTATTTTCATTTTCCATGTATAAAAAAAGGCTCCAAAAGGTGCTTTTCATGGCAATATTTATTGGCAGTGTTGGCATAAAAGGGGACACCTTTGAAAATGAGAACCAGAAGGTGAAGCCCCACTGAGCCAGAGCTGCCCCAGCCCTGAGGGTGAGGGAGGAGCTGTGGCTTTGTCCACAAATGCTTGGTTTGATGGTTGTATTGGTTAAATGCTGTGGATAAATGATGGGCAGAATCTCAGTAACCATTTAATCTCATTCACTTCCCTTGCTGGGTTCTATTAGAGGTTGTTGCTTCTGCTGGTTGTCACTTGACCTGAACGTTCCTCTTCAGTGCAGGAGGAGATTCAGAGCAGTGACTCGATTTTTGAAGGCTCTTTTTAGCCCTGCTTTTCAGGATTATGTGTTGTGGGGTTTTTTTTTTAAAACTTGGACTTCATCTGTGGATTTTAATGCCTGCAGAAATACCTGGGGATCTAAGCATTCCCTTTAAAAAAACCCAGAATATTTCTCCCTGATTGTAGTGTCTGTTCTGATGTGGTGGCTTCCAAAGACTGAGGCTTTAGGGACCTCACTAGCTGAAGGTAAAATACTCCTATACAATCCCTCAGTTTTAGAGGCATTTAGTGATCCTTTTACATGTTGACATTACTTCTCATAGTTTCAAAATAGCTGTTTGGTCACCATCAAGTAGAGGTTGCAAGAATTACTCTGCATTTCTGAGTTGTATTTAAATTCCTTATTACTTTGCTAAGTGCTTCCATCCCAACATGTTGATGAGTTGCTGTTTATTCCAAAAATCCTGGACTGAGTGTTATTAAAACTTAGCTCTTAGACCTCTCTCTGTACCTTTTGTCCCCCAGTTCCTTCACACACACACACTTTAAATATTAAGCTGAATTAGCAGGGAAGTTATCTTTAAATTTCAGTGCATATTTGAAGCCAGATTGAACAATACCCATCCCAGCTGTCCACTAGCCTGTCTTTTTATGCTCAGTCTAACTGGATTTAACAAAGAGTTTATTTTTATGTCTGGTTGCTTGCCTTCACATCTCCTAGATTTTGCTCGTGGCAAGGAGCCTCTTCACTGACAGCACCAGCAATCTCTTTTTCTGGCTCTTGCACTGAACTTACCCCGTGTGTTTTTATCTCCTCGGTGTAAGAAACGTTGCAAACTCATAATTAATTATCAGTGCTGTTGACAGCTCTAAATAAAACCATCAGTTGATCCAAATGAGCTGAATGAGGAGGATGAAGGGAGGAGAAGGGCAGGGGCAGGTTGGTTGGTGTCTCTGTGCCTCTGAGCTTCTCTGGTTCTGTTGGGAACCACCAGATTTTTATCAGTGCACATATTCCTTCTTTACTCCACCCTCTCCTTGCCCTGCAAAATAAGATGGCACAAGGAGACAGCCTTTTCTTCTGTTTGCTTCTGAAAAATAGTGATTTATGGTTTTTTAATACAAATACCACAGCTGTTCACCAGGTAGGGAAAGCAGGATTTACTTCCCAGCTGCAAACACAAGGGGCAGTGCTTGGAGAAAGGATGTTTTCCATGGGGACAGTGGTTTTGTTAATGTTTTAACTGGCACTGTTGCATTTTCAGTACCTGATTTAATGTGTGTCTGACTGCAGGAAGATGGAACTGTGCATGACCAACTTCCAGGGTGGCAGTATTACAATTTCCATCTTGTTTGTTAGATTTAGAGGTGTCCAAAACTGTTGTTTTACAAAGCTGCTGGAACAGAATATGTGGAAATATTGCTTCTTTTTTTTTTTTTTTTCCATTTATGCCTTTGGAGGGAAAAAAAAAAAAAACCTGTAATATTTGGTACTTACTAAATAAGATGTTTGGTTTGGCTTAACTGCTCACCAGGATAAAAATCAGTGTTTTCCCACGTGAGGTGGTTCAGGAGGCAAATATACCTGTTGGAATAGGAATGTAAATCCCTGGATGATGAGCCATAACAAGCCTTGCCAATCCTTGTGTTCCTAAATTGGTATTTTTACCGTGCTCAGGCTGGGAGTGAGTGAGCAGTGCTCTGCCCCACGGTGCTCTTGTACTTTGTCCCACTCACACGTGCTCTGAGGCTTGGATGGGATTCAGCCTGGAGAAATCCAACCACTGCTCCTGCCTTTTATTTGCCTGTTTGATTTTTTTGGTTTAGGTTTGTTTTGTTGTTGGTTTTTTTTTAAGGGATTGGTTTCATTTTTTGCTCTATAATTGTTATAAGAGTCTCGCTGTGGCGTTGAAATGGAATTTTGTGCTTTCCCCTTTCAAAGGCTGGTGCTGTAAGCCATGAGTTAGTGGTTCCTGTACAGGAGGGCAACTCCAGATTGACTGGGAAGGGATCAGCAGCCAGAACAGTGATGATTTTGGGTGTCTTTCAGCTAAACAGTTTTATCAGCAGTGCCTGATGTTAACACCAAGGTGCAGCTCAGCTGTGAAGTTGCAGAGCAGGAGAGGGGAAGGGGTGGATCCACGTGTGGATGGAGCTGGTCTTGCCTTCCCTTTGCAGTGCTCCTGAGGTGCCTGAGGCACTTCATCAGTGTTTTCCTGGCTTTTGGAGCTGTACAAGTGAGCTCACGGGATGATTCCTGGAAAATCAAATTTCTCCTTGGCTTCGGGCCAACAGGAATGTAAAAAGGGACTGTGGAGGGAGGGGTGTTGAAACCTCTGGGGCCTTTTCCAGCTGTGCCTCCTCCTCCCATTCCATGTGAGTGGTTACAGGAAGGGTTTGGAGTCTGAGTTTGGCTGAGACATTATCAGTTACCTCAAATATAATTCATTTATGTGCCTGTCTTGGTTCCCTCTAGTAGCTGCATTACAGGGCAGTTATGTCTTGTCAATAAAGCACTTGGGCCTCAACTGACAAGGTGCTGATAAAATAACCACCAATTCCTCACATCTCATTTAATTTTTGAGCTTTCAGTAAGTTAGAGAAGATCTAATTTTCATGACCAGTGAGGCTTCAGTGTCAGTAAAAGCTGCTTGTGTAAATAATAACTAATTTTGTGTAGAACTGACCATTGCATTTGCACTGTTCCTGGTCCCTCAGTGCCCCTCACTTTGGCCAAAGAGCAGAGGAGGTGCTGGTGAAGTAAAGAAATACAGGTTGATTCACTGAAAAAACACAGGTTGGGTGAAATGTGTGTCTGGGTTCCTTGTTGTGCCCAGTGATAGAGCTGAGCAGTGTCACAGCTCTGGCATCTTCCTCGTGGAACTCCTGGAAAAAACTCCCAGAAGCCCCAGTGAAAACTTTTAAAATGCTTTAGAAACGGGGATCACGTGGGAAAACAAACATTCCAGGAGGATTTCTGTGGGGTGTATTGAGCTGTGGGAAGCAGAAGTACAAAACAGAGCAGTTGAGAAATGTTTATTAATGGTAATATTTGTGTACTTACCAAAAAGCTTTTTTCAGACTCTGAGATTACAATCCAGACTATTATAATATCTCCTTAGGAAAATGCTGGAATATACTGTGTGTTCACTTCTGCCTTCAGAGGTGTAGGTGGCTGATTATGAGAATTCCCTTGGGATATTTTTGGGCTACAAATCCAGCACTGGAAGTGAAGATATGGCACTTCCTTGTTTCTTAAAGAAAGCTTTTGTATCTCTGTAATTACAAATTCCTAATTGATTTTTTTTTTTTCCCCTGCTTTTTACCAGGAACAGGAAGGTGGTCGATTACTCCCAGTTTCAGGAATCAGATGATGCTGGTAAATGACTTTTTTTTTTTTTTCTTAACAGTATCATATTCTGGGGTAGAGCAGTTCATTATTGCCTTGTGTATTAATTGTTTGTCTTTAACTCAAATTCTGAGGAGTTCCTGCTCTTCACAGCCCAAACTGTTAATAAGTATTTGAAAATGTAATGATTTTCATATGGTTTGTATTAAACAAACAATGGTGATAGAAATCTTATTATTTAATGCTTGTATTGTTGTAGTGCCTTGAGGCTCTTGGCAGCAACTTCCTTCCTTGGTCTATGTTATGTCCTGAATCTTCCTAATGCCACTTTTTTTTTCTGCAGGAAAATATGTTTTCCATTTATTTTAGTGGACTCTAGTTGAGCCCATAATATCAGGCATTTTGAGGAATAGCATCTTAAAAAAATATAACCTTTATGTTCTGTGTGAATTGAAGAAAATTTTCTGGGAGCCATATGGAATATATTTTGAGTTCTTAGAAGACACACACGGTGTGCTGCTGCTTGTTTATCAGATTACACTGATAATTAATATGAAACAAATATGCCTGGTTCTTAATTGCAGCTCTGTTCATAAGGTATTGTGTAAGAGTTGTAAAAAGTTGTGCTGTAAACTCCTACATAATGCCATACTTTCCCCCACCATAGGACAGTAAATAGTGTTTGCTGTTAAAAGCATGGTGAAATATGTATGGAAGTTAATTTTTAATAAGTTTATATAATAACTGGCTAGGTGTAAAATGAGATAGTGTTTCCTCTTGTGAGGTTTTTTATGTTTCTTAACACAGCATTTTTATTGTGCTCGTTGGCACCACAAAAGGTAAATCACAAGTTTAAGACAGGACTTTGCTTCTATAAAAATCTCCTTTGAAGCTTTGTGATCTTGTTTGGTTTGGTTGGTTTTATTTTTTTTTCTGTTATTTTTTTTTTTTTTCAAAGGACCTTTTTGTTGTGCATGAAATGATCAGTTTAAGTTAGAGCTGAGGAAGGCAGTTTGCTGGGAAGTAGGAGTTTGATTCAAACCCATTTTGTACTGTCCCGTCCAGATGAAGATTATGGAAGAGATTCAGGTCCCCCCTCCAAGAAAATCCGCTCGTCTCCCCGAGAGGCCAAAAATAAGAGGAGATCTGGGAAGAATTCTCAGGAGGACAGGTAAAAAAGAACCACTTCATCTCTTGGGAACATGTCTCCAAACCTTGTCCTGCCTGTGGGGAGCGGGATCCTGCAGGAGAACTGATTGGAGGTGGAATTCGAGTCCGCAGGGTGAGACTGGGAGCTCTGAGGCTCAGAACTTGCAGAACCAGCTTAGACAGTGAGCTGGTTCTCCCTTATCTGAGTAGACAGAGAAATCATGTGTGAAGCACTTGTCACTGGTGCTTCATCACTAAAATAGCTTTCCAGAGCCAGACAGTTGGAATGGGGAGGAATATGATCCGAGTTACAAAGGTTGGCAGCTGGGATGATTCTGCAGGTAAGTTGGGGGGGAGATGCAGTTCATTTTCCACCTTTGCAGTGTGCTCAGGGCATTCCTGGCCTTACAGGATAAGTGGGATGGTGCAGGGGCCATTTGTTAGTTTGGTGGTTCTTTTTTTCCTCATTTTGTTTAATTCATAAACCTGTCCTGATAACCAAGTTGCTCCAGCAGTGAGGGAGGACTCAGTGCTCAGAGACACCTTTGCTCTCCAGCAAACTTTCCCTCAGCAGGGTATCTTCCATTTCACACCAGCTGTGGCCCCCAAATAATTCCCATAAGAGCTGTTAAATCATTTCTCTGTTCTCATGGCAGACATCAGCTTCAGGGGTGGAGGTTCTGCCAGCTCCTTCTTGTCCTGTAACCCCAAGGTGTCTTTTACTCTCCATCACAGATCAGATCATTTGGACCAAACCTGTGCCAGTTCAGAGCTGTACAGCAACGTGCACAGAGTGGGATCTAAACAATGACTATAAATCTATTCAGAATCAACCTTTATTCCCTTTATACACTCAGCATATAAACCATCAAAATTCTAAATAAAATGGAAGCCATCTTGGTAGCTTTCAGAGTGAAGCTTTTTCACCTCACCCTGATTATTACCTGGTTGGTTCACTTGACACCATATAAGTTTATTATGTGATTGGGTTTGAACATTACCTTTCTAGCTGTGATAACTGCACATACACCAGAGGAATCCTGAAGTATAACATGGTAATGTCCTGGAAAAGTGCATGTTCCCAGCCTAGACATCAGTTTGCTCTTCAAAAATTGTTATTTTCTGCACAAAGTTAGAACAGGAGGCAAACTTTATCTTTGTCTCATTTTCAGTGAGGATTCAGAAGACAAAGATGTGAAGACTAAGAAAGATGATTCACACTCAGCAGGTAACTCCATTGTACTGATGCATCTTCAGAACAAGCAGTGTCTCTTCAAAACCAGTTTGTGAGAGTTGCAGGAGTAGGATTTGACATAGCTCTGACTAGAAGAGCAGCATTTCTCCAATCCACTCACCTTCAGTTGGATTCTGCCTCTCCTGCTGTTACTTCCCACCCTGGTTTGGGATAATGTGGTTGAGTTTTTTTTGGTGTGATGTGATGGTACTATAAAGTTTGTCTTCACAGGTGGATAGACCTGTTAATCTCTTCCCTGTAGTTTTCATCCATATCTCAGAATGATTCAAGAAACTTCATCTTGGTACCTTTTCCTTCCAGATGAAGATTTTGGCAGCGAAGATGATGATATAGGAGCAGACGATGGCAAAGCTGACAGTGACTATGAGAGCTCTCAAAAAAGCAAAAAAGGAAAAAAGGCTAAACCAGACAAGAACAAGAGAGCAGCCTCCAAATCCAGGAAAAGGCCTGCAGGTAAAAAAAAAAAAAGAAAAATAATAAAAAAAAAAGGAAAATAAAAAAAAAGAGGTTCCTGGTAGTTGGGTGAGCACAGGAAGGTGTTTAATATGTCAAATGTTATCAGTTATCAGTGAATGTCTTGATTTAGTCTCTTATGAATGACTTGCTGCCTCAAGGCAGGGGGTCTGTGTTGTGCATCCATCATAACCTGGTGGTTTTTGCTGCAGAGGACAGCGAGGATGAGAAGGAGGATCACAAAAACGTCCGTCAGCAGCGACAGGCAGCGTCCAAAGCAGCTTCGAAACAGCGGGAGATGCTCATGGATGACGTGGGGAGTGAGGAGGAAGAGCAAGAGGATGATGAGGCCCAGTTCCAGGAGAGTGAGTAAATGGGATTGTAAAAAGTTCACATCAATGATGAGCTGGGTTTAGTAGCAGATTTATGGGTCTGGCCACACAGCAAAAGGAACAATTTGCTTTTTCACCGTGACACCGAAGGCATCAATCATCCTTCTTAGTGTTTTACTTTTTACTGTCCAACAGACCAAGCTTTTAAGGTTTTCACATCTAGAATTTGTGCTCAAAGTTTGCAGATGTATGTTTTTTAAGCAGCCCTAAAGGGTTATTGTAAAGCTCTCACTGCTTCTTGCTGTCCCTCTGGTTTTAAGGCGTTGATGCTCCTCTCAGATGATGTGAAAACCAAGTCAAATGTTTTACCCCAGCAGACAGTGGAAGCTCAGAGGGTCCCAGCCTGTGTCCTGTCTCACTGGCAGATCTCTCATCCTCTGCTCCCTTTCCTCTTTGCCTCAAAAAACCTTAAATTTCTTTATGCTTCCAGCAGATTCAGGAAGTGATGAAGACTTCCTCATGGAAGATGATGATGACAGTGATTATGGCAGTTCAAAAAAGAAGAATAAGAAGGTCTCCAAGAAATCCAAGCCAGAGAGGAAAGAAAAGAAAATGCCCAAGCCCAGGCTAAAGGCTACAGGTGAGTCTGCAAAGAAAGCTGCTGAGTTTGCCTTTGGTGTTTTCTTTTTCTGCTCTTAGAGGACTTGGTAGAAATCTTGGAGTCAGTAGAGATCCACATAAATGTTGAAGGGCTAAAATGCCATGATTTAAAGCATAAATATGAAATAATAAGGTGGCTTTAACTCTTACTTCAGGGATTGAATTGATCTACCTCTTGTTGGTCAAAACTACACAGTATTCAAACCCTTCCCTGTTGAGGTGCTGCATTCTGACTTTTTCTGTCTTGTAGCCAAATAATACAATTTGTGGCTTTGTTTGGGACTTTGTGGTGTTTTCAGGCTGGAGGAAGGTGGGGAAATCTGAACCAAAGGAGAAATGGATGCATTTCTGCAGGAAGTTTGAAGTTTAATAGTGATGGATGTTGTGGTTTGACAAGGGCTGTGTTCATTCATGATGTCACATCCAGTAGTGAGTCAGGACCTGCAATGAAATAGCTTTAAAACCTCGTTAGCTAATTTTCACTTCAGCTTTGCTAACAGGGGGTGCAAAAAACAATCTGTGGGGTCAAAGCAAAATGAAAGCTGCTGCTGAAGGGACTTGTAAATCCTGTTTGTGTAACACCACGTGACTTTTTGGGGGTTTTTTTTGCCTTTGCTGCTGATAAGTTTTACAAGCTTTCTCTTGTTTCAGTGACCCCCAGTCCAGTGAAAGGCAAAGGGAAGGGAGGTCGTCCCACAGCCTCCAAGGCAACGAAAGAAAAGACCCCATCCCCCAAAGAAGAGGATGAAGAGCCTGAAAGCCCCCCAGAAAAGAAAAAATCAGCCAGCCCTCCACCAGAGAAGTCAGGGGATGAGGGATCTGAAGACGAAGCACCCTCTGGTGAAGATTAAAAAATGGCAGTTGAGGAAATCTTTGGTTAAAAAAAAAAAGAGAAAAAAAAAAAAGAAAAAGGAAAAGAAAAACATACTTAGGGGTAGAACACGGTTTTGGCTGTGGCTTGACTCATGGGCTTTGAATGCTGTCTTTACTTTCAGCTGTTTAATACAGTGTATCCTTTTTTAATAAGAGGAAACCCTTATACAGTAATATTTTGAAGTCAATGTTCTCTGTTGGCCATTCCGTTCTCCCTCCCCCACCAAATCTGAAAGCCATTTGAGACAAATTAACAGACCATTAAATATATTTTTTTTTTTCAAGGGATATTGCAGTTGTGAAGCAATAAGGTTTGAGGACTGATATGTGGAAACCATACTTAACAAATCCTTAAGTAGAATAGATTTTTTTTCCCAGTGATGGTAAGAGTTGTTTAAAACTATTATTCTGTATTTGAATATATGGAGAGAAAAAAAAAAAAAAAAAGAACCTATGCTTTAACAGACTTTTGTTGAGACAAGTTCACTCTCAGAAAAAAATGTAGTTGATATAATTCCAGTGGAGGAAAAGGAGACACGGGGAGGAAACCTGTGTTTCTTGGATTCAGGCACGTTTTTCATGGAAAGCAATCAAGAGACCCAGAGATGGTCCAATGTCTTTGATTTAGAAAAGACCCTCCAATTAGGATGGGAGATTTTTATTTTTTTTTGTCTTTGCTGGATAAAAAAAACTGTTCTGCTGTAGGCAAATTGCAGCCCATTCTCTACAAACCCAGATGTACAACTTACAAGCTTCCCACATCCATTAACTCCACTTGATTTCCTCAGGGTTGGCTGTAGATGGGCAGAACAAGGAAGAGAAATTGCAAACAACTTTTAAAACCAGTTTCCATTTGGTTATTGTGGAAAAATACGTCTTTAGAGGTTTTTTCCAAGGAGAAAAAAAAATTAAATTAACGGATAGTGTAAAAAAAACTTTAAATGTTTTAGGTTTTGGGGCGAGGGATGTCCGTGTGTAAATGTGAAGCAAAGGATTCTGCAGTGCTCTGGTCAGTCTCGGATCCCATGAGTCAGGCTTTAGTGGTTCTCTTCTCTCCCTCCATCTGTCCTCAGAAAAGCTCCAGTGATCCCTCAGCCCTCTCCAGCCGCAGCGTGGGACAGCAGGCAGTGAACACCCCCTCCCCATCCCACCTCCACACCCTCATCCTTCCATCCCATGGTGTGGGACAGCAGGCAGTGAACACCCCCTCCCCATCCCACCTCCACACCCTCATCCTTCCATCCCTCAGCATGGGACAGCAGGCAGTGACCATCCCCCTGTCCTTCCACTCCTCAGCCTGGGACAGCAGGCAGGGAGCATCCCTCCAATCCCACCTCCACACCCTCATCCTTCCATCCCATGGAACATCCCCCTATCCCACCTCCACACCCTCATCCTTCCATCCCTCAGCGTGGGACAGCAGGCAGTGAGCATCCCCTCATCCCACCTCCCTGCCCTCATCCTATCCAGCACTGTGGGACAGCAGGCAGGGAGCATCCCCCTGTCCTTCCATCCCATGGTGTGAGACAGCAGATAGGGAGCATCCCCCTCATCCCAGCTCCACACCCTCATCCTTCCATCCCTCAGCGTGGGACAACAGGCAGTGACCATCCCCTCCCCATCCATCCCACCTCCACATCCTTCATCCTTCCATCCCTAAATGTGGGACAGCAGGCAGTGACCATCCCCCTGTCCTTCCATCCCTCAGCATGGGACAGCAGGCAGGGAGCATCCCCTCATCCCAACTCCACACCCTCATCCTTCCATCAGGAGGCAGGGAGCTTTCCCCCATCCCACCTCCACGTCCTTCATCCTTCCATCCCTCAGCGTGGGACAGCAGCAGGCAGTGAGCTTCCCCCTCATCCCACCTCCACACCCTCATCCTTCCATCCCTCACCATGTTCCATCCCACAGCGTGGGACAGCAGGCAGGGAGCATCCCCTCATCCCACCTCCACATCCTTCATCCCATGGCATGGGAGAGCAGGCAGTGACTATGTCCCCCATCCCACCTCCATGCCCTCATCCTTCCATTCCTTCATCCTTTGCTCCCACAGCCACACATCTGCTGGGCCAGCTCCCTGAGCCTGGGAAGCGCTGGGTAGGGAATGACAACCAAGGATGGAGCTGGGAGGAGGTGGAGTGCTGGAGGTGGAGTGTTGGAAGCAGGACTGTTTTAGGTGGCAAGCAGGATGTCCCTCTAAAAGCGAGACACTCGAGATGTGTGTGGTGGCATTTTAATGTGCTTTTATCAAAGCAGCCACGTCCTTTTTTGTCGTCGTTTTATGTTCGTTTTTAAACCTCCATTAAACTACACAAGCCTTGGTTTTCAAACCCTGATACAGAGGTTGCTGCCATGTTTGTTGGTGGAAATACTGAAAACTGGACCTGCCATTTTTCTCTCTTTTTTTGTTTCCTTTAAACCCTTTGTGCTTCTGTTGGTTGCTCACAGTTATCTTCCAGCTGACAAGCTTTTGCATCCTTTTTTTTTTGTTTTGTTTTGTTGTTTGTTTTTTTTGGTCACAGAACTACACATTTTGTAACCAGCCTCTTGAAGGTAACATAAGGCAGCTAATTAGTTGGATTTCTGGTAGCACATGCTACCAGATTCGTAATCCTGTTTGGATTTTAGAGAGCTCTTAGATGTGATACACTAATATGATCAGGAAGGACACTTGGCTGAATCCATAGGGAGCCTGAGGATGCTGAGCACAGTGTGGAGCCTCAGATGGGGAATGGAATATTAATGCAGCAGCCGAGTGATTTGTCTTGTGTGGTTCATAGCCCTGGTTTTTATTGAGGCTGGTAAATTACTTTACCTTGGCTTATAAAAATTTCAAGTTCTCTTAACGTTCTTTACTCTCATGAAACTACTGTTGCCGTTACAATAAAGATGATCGTTGTTTCGATTGTAAATCTTTCATTTTTGAAGTGGTTCAGATTTCCAGAGCAGCTTAAGGCTGGAGTGAAGTACCAATCTTGGAAAAAAAAAGAAGTCAATGTAAAATCCCCTCTCCTCTCCCACACCTCTTCCCTGATTTCTGGGAGAGCAGAGTCTCTTGCATTCCCTCTGCTCCTAGTCCTGTGCTTCTTGGGGAATATGGGAACATAAATGACCATATTTTAAAAACCATTTTGGGGGGTAACAAACACTCTTGCAAGTGTTTGGTTCACAGAGTTGTTCCCCTTCAATCCAGACTGTGTTTCAAGCTACTCTTGCCCATTGGGTTCTTAGGGGGGTTTTTTTGGTATTAAAATGTGCAAGGATTATTCCAGTTCATCTGGTCAAACAGCTGGTTCTTCCCCTGCTGGACCAGATCTTTTCTGAAGAGTAGATTTTCTAAGTTCCACTTAAAACACATATTTTTGGGGTCCTTTTTTTTTTCCCCAACACGGTTAAGAAAAGTCAAGGCTGTGAAAAAAAAAATCTGTTTCTGTTGTTCTCAGCTCAGGTTTTGGGACTGGATTGTTTTATGCCTGGCAAGTTTGGCCCTTTATCTCACAGAACTGTTCTTTTTTTTGTTTTCCTCACACGTTCATTTCTCGTGGCCGTTCCACGATGTTTATTTTCTGAGTTTGTCCCTTCCCAAACACAATGTAAATCCCGTGCTTTGGGGATTTGGGAACTTTTTCTAAATCTTACTGTCTTGCTGATTTATGCAAACACTAAGCCCTGATGGTCTCTTGGCTGCCCTGTTAGAAGTGCAGCAGTTTACATTCATATTTTTATTACATTTAATTATTTTTAGCACACCCCATTTTTCAGCAGCAGCAGCTTCACATTTTTCGGTGTCCTTTCTTCATTAATTTGTGTTAAGCATTCTGATTTCTTGAAGGAAAGCTGTGCAAATGCCTTTCTTTGGGAGCATGAATGGTTCTTCGTGGAGCAGAAAGTTTTGTTCACAGGAGGCTTTGAAAATCTTGTTCCATTGCTGTAGTTTTGGAGCCTCTGCAGAGAGGTAAATGGGTTTATTCCAAAGTTTTAGTCAGTCTCGAGTTCTGCCCTGATCTTACCATTAAAAAATAGTAGTTTATAGCTTGTGTTATATGTTCTTTTGGAGATTCTAAATCCACACCACCACGCTGAGTTTTGCAGTTTATGCCAATAGTCCTGCCTTGAGCAAGGTTTGATCAGTCAAAATTGGCAGTTTTGGTTGGAATTTTATATTAAAGGTGATTTACTTCAGTTTCTGATCAGCATGGGAGTGCCAACCACGCTGAGCTGAACGGGTTTCTGAGTGGACTGTGGGGGAGAGCCTGTCAAAAATGGGGCAGCTGAGAAGCTTTTAATTTGGTTTTAACTTCATCAAAGCAGAAGAGTGTGAGGGGAGAGAAGCAGCAGCACACCTTGGGTGACTCACCAGTGCCAGGTAATGGTTCTGAGCCTGCTCAGCTCCTGTGCCAGCACAGGAGGTGATGGACAACCAGGGATAGTGGCAGAAGATGTGCTGGAATTCCTGGATTTTTCTTTTTTTTTTTTTTCCCTTTTTTCTTTTTTTTTTCCCTCCACTGGTGATGGTCACAAAGGTACAATAGACACTGAGGCACCCAGGTTTGAGGAGGGAGGGAAGCAAAACTGTAACATGCTGGAAGCTTTTGAGCTGTAGAAACTGGTGCTTTGCTTTATGTAATTTTGTCTGTGAAGTGTTTATTTTTATAACAGATCATATTGTTGAACACATGGTTCTTCAAATCTTTACAAACTGATCTCCGTGAGTTTAATATTTGGTTGAGAAGTGGACGTTCATCTGTTGGGAGGGAGGCAGGATGTGAAAATGAAGCAGATGGATATTTAAAGGGACACTGTTGCTGGCATATAGGAGATGTTAGTTTGGGGGGGGGTCACACCTATATGTGGAAATTATATATTCTGTATGTATATGATCAAATAGAAAAATGTTCCCTGAGCTTTCGAGTATTTTCCTACGGTTTTGGGAGGTTCAAATATAAGTTCTGATCAAATAGGAAGCAACACTAACTGTTCTGTTCTTGCTGTCCAAGGTGACTTTTTGTTTAAGTGCTCTGAGGAGCATCAGAGCTCCGAGAGCCGACAGTGTCCTCTCGAGGCCTCCCCAAAAATCAAGTTTCAGACCCCCCACTTCAGTAGCTGACTGGCATTTGAATGTCTTTTCACTGAACTCTTTCTACTAAAAACAAACCACGACTCAGATTTCTAAGTCTGGTCAAGTCCTGCCACGTGCTGACTCTGTATCAACCACTGTTGGCCCCGACTCCAACCTTCCTGCCCCTGCAGCCGGTCCAGCATGCTCAGTGTGACTGCAACCCACCCTTGTGCATAATGCTTTGTATATTGGGGGCGAGGGGGTTTTTTATATATATATTTTGGGAGGGGGGGGTGGGAGCGGGGTGGGACGGAGGAAATCCTCGAATCAGCTTAAGCCAGACTTAAAATGTGTGTAAAAGCCCCCGAGGTCTGTGGTGTGTGAGTGCGCGGGGGTGAGTGCGCCTGGGAGCGTCCGACATCCCTTTGTGTTCAGAGCTTTGTGAGTTTGACTTTTCTTCTTTTTTTTTTAATTTTTTTTCTTTATTATTTTTTTGGGTTTGGTTTCGTTTTTCCTCTCCTGCAGAAGCAATTGTTAACGAACTTTAAAATTTGTAAATAAGAGCTACGTTAATTTTTTTTTTCGGTTTAACATCCCTGAATAATCAGTTGGGAGGTAGAGAGAGAGGAGGAGGAGGAGACTCCAGGTAGGGCCTTGGGCAAGGCATCATTCTGTGGTATGCAATGAATATTTGTCTTGAGTATTTGCAATCCCCTGCTGAGCTTTTCTAAAAATCAGGCTCTTTGCAGTTCCCCTCCCCATCCTCTTTTAATTTTTCTTTTTTTTTTTTGGTTGATCTCAAGAGCAGACAGAAAAGGGGGCAGCTGCAAACAGTCACCTCTGGGCCCAGTGGGGTTGGCAACTCTTGCAATACCTTGACAACACTGAGATAAGCATGGTACTAGGAGTTAAGTCTGAATGTAACATTAATGCTTTATTTAAAATAATAAAAAAAAAAAACAACCCCAACCCACGCTTTCTTCTTGTTTTGTTTTTTCAAGGGGTTGAAGTGAACATGACTGTCGACCATGTTCGTGAATTTATAGATGCAACATTCATTGGTAGAATTGTGTGATGGTCTTTTGTGCTACTTAATTTTACATATTCCAGTCTCTGTATGTACCTGCAAAGAAAGAAAGAAAAAAAAAATAAATAACGAAAACCCTGCTTTGCTTTTATTGAAAGGGTTCCCAGGACTGCATACCTGCTCCTGAGCTCTGTTTTAAGTATGTGTATCCTTCGCTTGTATTTTGTATTAAAAAAAAAAAAAAAAAAGAACCACGAGGAAAAAGAACCCTTTATTGTTCAGCATGTTGGAATTGTGTCCCCTCTTTTATTTTTCTCCTTTTTGGAATATATTAAGCAACTCATTCTTCTGTATCTTTTATTTTCTTTTGTAAACTTTTCGGTTTTGTTTAAAAATGGCTTTATAAAAGGGCTTTTATAACCCATAAACACGAGTTGTGTAATTCTTCTGCTGTTTGAAGGTATCACCCTCCTGTGGTTGGTTTTCTGTGAATGTCAGCGAGGTGTAAAATGTGTTTATCTTCCAGGATGTGTGATGGTTTGGGGATTAATTCCTTGGAAAGCTCGTGTGTTCTCTGAGGAGGGGAAGTCGGGTTTTGGCCAGAAGAGTTTGGGCAGGTGTGACCTTCCCATCACTACCCGTGAGGTGAGGGGGGAGAAGTTCCAAATTAAGTCATGTTGGCTGTGAAAAGCCCAACCTGTGCTTTCCCCCCATTCCAGGAGAGCCGTGAGTTGGGATTTTAGGGCTCAAACCCACTCCGAGCGATGACGAGGAGGGACAAACCCATTGCACGTCACCTTCACCCCCAGGAGCCTCCCCTGAGCAGCAGAGAGTGTTTTGTGTTCCCCACGTGTGTCCCAGCAATGACAGCAGCCCCGCAGCTTATGGAAGAGGTCACCTGTCCATATTCCTTGGGAATATGGGATAAATCCCCGAAATCCTGCCTGGCTGGTTGTCATGCCAGCGGGGAGGGTTGGCCCGGGCACGGGGGGTTTCTCCGTGTGTTGTCCCACCCGGGAGGTCACAATCCATCGTCTGTGCTCTTCATAAATCCATTGGAGCACATTCCATCCCGTTTCCTGCAGAATCGGTGGGACCCCCGTAAATTCAGAGCCGTTTTTACCGATTTTGGCTCGTTTTTGGTGTCCTGCCCGCGCCGCGCCAGGAGAGGGCGCGCAGGGACGGCGCCTCATCCCGCTGCCTCCTTCCCTTGGGATGAGCTGGGAAAAGCTCTGGAACAACACCCTGGAATGCTGCGCTGGGCAAGTGTTCTCCCAACGCCATAAACGGTGGACGCTGCAGTTTGGGTTGTGTTTTATTTGTGGGTGTTTATTAAAAACCGAGGCGGTTCGTCAGGACAAACACCCGGAATTGTTTGTTCCTCACAGGGATGGAGCTGAAGCTGCTTTTGGGAACGTGTTTTCCTGAAATGTTTGGGATGGCAGAACATGCTTGTAGCCCTAGGAATGAGTAGCTTTGGGATGTGTTGTCCTTGCCCCAGGTCAGCAGGACACTCAACCAAAATGAAGTCGTGGTCTTGGAGCAGTGGGACAGGAGAACAGGCTGCACCAGGGGGTGGCTAATTAATGTATTTGCTTTTAGAGATTATTTGGGGTACTTTATGAAATGCCATGTCCGTGTCTGGCTGCAGGTTCTCTACCTATTCCCTTTATTTTATCCCACAGGGTGGTAAAATGGGGTCCTGTAACCCGGGAGTGTTGGATGCTGCTGCTGACAGTGATGCTCCAGGCTTTTGGAACAGAGCGCTTTAATGATGGGAATGGAGTGGTTTAATCACACAACTTATGGCATTCCTGTCTTCTCCTTTTGAACAGGGCAGCCAATTAACCTTGCCAGGTACTCCTACCTCACTGCTGTGGCATCTGCAGTCCTGTGCTGCAGTCTTGACATGGATCCTTGATCCTGGAGCCGAGTTTCCTTCAGGTCCTGCTGCACTACTTCCCTTTTTTAGGCTGCTTTCCTCCTCAGCTTTGCTCTTTGGAGCCCAGTGCATTTCCTGACTGCTCCATCCTGCTGGCAGATGCTTTGCCAGCATAACTTAAGGAAAATTCCCTAACAAAAGTTCCCATTGGCTTTGTGGTGTTTGCAGGGAATTAATACCAGAAACAAATTATTTCTTTCTGGGTTTACTGGACGTGCATCTGAGCAGTGGACACGGATAAGGTTTAGTAACTCCAGCAAGTGCTGCCAAAGCAGGGGAATAAGATCCCCTTGGCAAACAATCCTCGCTGTCAAGTTTTAATCTGAGAGAATTTTGCCTGGGGAGTATCCTGTTTGTGTCCCTTTTTGGTAGCATTTGGTTCTAGGACGAAAATCAAGTCCAAAGGTGGAATTCAAGACGGGATCTGTTTGTGGCAGCACAGCTTGTTTGGGCCCTACAGGTGTCCTTGGAGGAGGGAATGGGATGGTTTGAAGAGCTGCTGTTCTGAGCAGAGCAGGGACAGGACCCAGGGAATGGCTGTAGCTGTGTCAGGAAGGTTTAGGTTGGATTTCAGGAGAAGGTTCTTCCCCCAGAGGGTGGTTGGCACTGACCAGGCTCCCCAGGGCAGTGGGCACAGCACCAAGGCTGCCAGAGCTCCAGGAGGGTTTGGACAACTCCCTCAGGGACAGGGTGGGATTTTGGGATGTCTGTGCAGGGCCAGGAGCTGGACTGGATGATCCTTGTGGGTCCTTCCAGCTCAGGGTATTCCATGATTCTGTTCTTGCCCATCCTGCATGTTGAAGGAAACCTGGAAAAAAACTGGATTTTCCCAGCAAATTCCCTGCACTTTAAAAGCATGTTTTTCAGGTGTAGTTTTGATGCAGCAAATTGCAAGTGAACAGGTTTGGAGTTTTTACTTCTTTCACTGGTATTTGGGGTCCGTGTCCCACACAGTGCGATAAATCAAGCACAGATATCACTAATAATTTAAATTCCTGCTGTCCAGGGGTGCAGCAGAGCTCTGGAGGTGTCTGTGTCTGCCCCTCGTGCACTGATTGAAGAGCCCTGGGGCTCTGGGCCCTGTGATTTGATGGGTTCACTCTGCTCTGTGGGCTCAGAACCACATCCGGGGCTCACACACATCTCCAGCTTCGCAGTTTTCTGTAGCCCAGGAAATGGTTTTGTGTGTTTTGGTGCTTTTTGGGTTTTTTTTTTTCCTACAGAGGTCAAGTTCAAGAGCAGTTCTCCCGCTGTGGGCAGCCCTGAAATGCACTCCCCCCGTGGATCCAGACCAGGAAGGGACAGTTCCTGCTCCTGTGGATGCTGAGCTGAATTTTCTGGGTCAGGCCGAGCCCTTGGCCTCAAACCATGGTCACAGTTCTCCCTCCTGCGTGGGCACAGGCTCGATGGACACCAAACACAAACAACCCTGCACAAAGTCAAAGCCATTTCCTCCTCTGCCTCATCCACAACATTTCTTTTATCCTCCAACAGGATAAATTTGGTTTGATATTCAAGGTTCTGCTTCATATTCACTCGTGAGTTGTGCAGCTCAAAGAGGAGCTGGGGCTTTATTTGAATATTTATTTGAATAATCTCTTGTCTTTCAGGTTGAATAACATTTGTGTTTTGAGTAGATAACAGTTCCAGCAGAACTACATTTCCTGCTGTCACAATATCTTCAGCCTTAAGCATTTCTCACTGAGCCCTTGGCCTTGGTAGGAGGTTTTGGGTTGCATTATCAATTAGTGCCTTTCCTTAACAGGGGGGGTCTGTTGCCTTTGGTTGTTGCAAACCCTTTCAAACATTTTTGATTAATTGCAGTGTTTTATGCCTGAGAACTTCTGTCTTCTTCCTCTTGTGAAATGAAGTCAGTACTGATTTTTTTTTTTTTTAAAGTCTCTGCTTGGATTTCTTTCTATTTTTATTTTTTTTTTAGCTAAATGTTTCTGAATGTTTTATAAAGAGGATATTATTGTAGTGTTTCTGCTTCACTTCCCGAATGAAGGAAAGGAATAGTCTGAGTATAATCCTATTTACTACATAGAGCTGTCATTTCTTTTTCCTTAAACTGGCCTTATTTTGATTTTTTTAAATTAAAATTTAATTTTAAATTTTAATTCTTTTTTAGAACTTCACTGCTGATTATGATACTGCATTTGAAACAGTTTCTGTTCCCAGAACCAGTTCAGTACATTAGTTTTAAATTAATAAGTAACACATTTCTCAAAGGCAGACCAGGCCTCACATTTGGAAGTGACTCATGTTCTTTCAGTCTCACTCACATTAAACTGGTTTTACACCTTTAAATGCATAAAAAAACCACTTAAGTGACTTTTAAACATTTCTCCCATTTCCTTCTTTTGTAGAGCAAGGTACCAGAAGGAAAAAGAAAATATCCTTGGGTGCAAATCCTTGTTCTCACTCTTGATTCTCCTTCTCCCCCCTCCCCACCAAGAGTGTAAAAAAAGAACAAGTTGCAGAGTTTAACAACTTGTGGTGCCTTTTATATTGCATTTTCCCACGTGAGTTAAATGCAAACATAAATGTTTTAACACAAAATCACGGAACTGTGGAATGGTTTGGGTTGGGAGGGATCTTAAACATCACCCAGTGCCACCCCCTGCCCCGGGCAGGGACACCTTCCATGGGACACCAGGTTGCTCCAACCTGGCCTTGGACACTTCCAGGGCTGGGGCAGCCACAGCTCCTCTGGGAAACCTGTGCCAGTGTTGGATTCCCCAGGCAGGACACTGGGCAGGTGCCCCTGGAGCAGAATTCCAGAGGGCTGGAAAGAGCAGCGGGCGGAGCGTGGGAAGGAGGCTCTGGGGAACTGCTCCCTTTGCACCTCCAGTCATTAAAAGGGTTCAAACCCAACGAGGAAGAGCCCAGGTCTCTGACCTGAGGGTAGGAGACTGTGCTAATTAACAGAAACAGAAATTCCCAAGGCTTTTTAAGTGCTGGAAGAAGGCATTGCTGCCACCAAAACAAATAACC